ATTCATTCTTGAATAGGATGTTCTTTAGTCTCCAAGTATTTGTTATTTTTCCAAATTTTTTTAATGGTTGATTTTGAGTTTCATGGTGTTGTGGTCTGAAAATATGCACGGTATGATCTTGATCTTTTTTTACTTGTTGAGGGCTGATTTTTGTCCCAGTATATGATCTCTTCTGGAGAATGTTCCATGTGCACTCGAGAAGAATGTGTATTCTGCTGCTTTAGGATGAAATGTTCTGAATATATCTGTTAAGTCCATCTGGTCCAGTGTGTCATTCAAAGCTATTGTTTCTTTGTTGATTTTCTGTTTAGATGATCTGTCCATTGTTGTAAGTGGGGTGTTGAAGTCCCCTACTATTATGGTGTTATCAATGAGTTTCTTTATGTTTGTGATTAAATGATTTATATATTTGGGTGCTCTCATGTTTGGAGCATAACTGTTTATAATTATTAGATCTTCTTGGTGAATAGACCCCTTAATTATGATATACGGCCCTTCTTCATCTCTTGTTACAGTGTTTATTTTAAAATCTATATTGTCTGATATAAGTATGGCTACTCTGGCTTTCTCTTGACGTCCATTAACATGATGGATAGTTCTCCATCCCCTTACTTTTAATCTGAAGGTGTCTTTAAGTTTAAAATGGGTCTCTTGTAAACAGCATTTAGATGGATCTTGTTTTCTTATCCATTTCTATTACTCTGTGTCTTTTGATTGGAGTGGTTAGTCCATTGATGTTTTGAGTGAGTATTGAAAAATATAAATTTATTGCCATTATATTGCCTGTAGAGTTGGAGTTTCTGTTGTTGTTCTCTGGTCCTTTCTCGTCTTTGTCGCTTTTGGTCTATTTTTTTTTTGTTTTTTAATCTTTTCTTCCCTCAGAGAGTCCCCCTTAAAATTTCTTGCAGGGCTGGTTTAGTGGTCATGAACTCCTTTAGTTTTTGTTTGTCTGGGAAACTTTTTATCTCTCCTATTTTTAATGACAGTCTTGCTGGATAAAGAATTCTTGGTTGCATATTTTTCCAATTCAGCACACTGAATATATCCTGCCACTCCTTTCTGGCCTGCCAAGTTTCTATGGATAGGTCTGCTGCAAACCTGATCTGTCTTCCCTTGTAGGTTAAGGACTTTTTTTTTCCCTTGCTGCTTTCATGAATCTTTCCTTGCCTGAGTATTTGGTGAATTTGACTATGATACGCCTTGTTGATGGTTGGTTTTTGTTGAATCTATTGGGAATTCTCTGTGCTTCTTGGATTTTGATGTCTGTGTCTTTTCCCAGGTTAGGAAAATTTTCTGCTCTGATTTGCTCACATAAGGTTTGAGACCCCTATGATTCTGATGTTAATTCCTTTTTAGTGAGTCACTAAGTTATCTAATTCTTATATCCTGCTCTTTTGCCTTAGTCTCCCTCTTTTTTTCTGCTTCATTATTCTCCATAAGTTTGTCCTTTATATTGCTGATTTGCTGCTCTGCTTCATCCGTTATTGCCGCCACTGCATACATTCGAGAACAGCTCAGTTATAGCATTTTTGCTTTCATCCCGCCTAGCTTTTACTTCTTTTACCTCCACAGAAAGGGATTCTAATCTATTTTCAACCCCAGCTAGTATTCTTATGATTGTGATTCTAAATTCTTGTTCAGATTCTAAATTCTAAATTCTATCTTGCTTGTGTCTGTGTTGACTAAGTACCTGGCTGTTATTTCTTCCTGTTCTTTCTTTTGGGGTGAATTCCTTTGCTTTGTCGTTTTGAAGGAAGAAAAGGAATTAATAAAGTAAAGAAAATAAAAATTAAAAAATTAAAAACAACACACAAAAAATCAAATAAAGGATGCCAGATCCTAGGTGTGTTTTGGTCTGGTTGTTGAAAGAAGCTTGATAGAATAGAGAAAAAAGGGAATGAAAAGAAAAAAAAGGAGAAAAAAGGAAAACATTAGAAAATTTGAGAAAATGAATACAGTAAAATAGAATAAAAGGAGATGATGACAATAAAATAGTTTTAAAAATTTACAAAAAAGTGAAAAATACCACAGAAAATATTTAAAGAACAATCTTTTTATGTAAAAATGGAAAAAAGAATTAATTTTTTTTCTGTCTTTATTCAAGAATAAAGAAAGAAAAAGGAAACAAAAATTGAATAGATGGACCGGTGAACAGAATGAGATACGATTGAAATTACATACAGTTTCCCCTAGGAGTCAAACTATGAAGCACTTTACAGTCCATAAACTAAGCAGGTGGAGAGACTTATGGTGTTCTTCAAGACTTGTGGTTGGCCCAGTTCGGGGTGTGGGGAGGCTTAGTTTAATGGCTCCATTCTCCACTAGATGGCACTGCTTAGCTTACTGGGGTGGATTGTTGTGGCGCATGTAGGTGTGTATGTTCATGCGTGGGAGGATTGAAAATGGTGTCACCAAGGTACCCAGTCTCTAGTTTCAGAAGTCTGTGCTGCCCTCAACCAGCACCCCTCCTTTGTCTCTGGCTTCTGTCCACTCCCCATTTCTACACTGTCCATGACCAAACCATCAGGCTGCCAGGTGGCACCTCCCTCCTGAGTTTTATCTCAGATGGGGCTGTGTTTACCAACACTTTACTTCTGAGGGACTGCGGCCTTGACCTGCTCAGACCCTCTGGGGGTGGGTCTTGCTCAGCAATGGCCAGATGCCAGCTGCACCAAGGAACATTCATGCAACCGTGCTACTGCCAATATTCAGAGACTGAAGCCAGGCACTAGCCTGCTCCAGAAAAAGTTCCTGTGATCATGTGGCAGCAGCATTTCAGGGATTATGGCAAATCACAACACACATCTGGTGCCAGGCTTCACCCCCAACGTCCTTGTTCCAAAATCAGTGAATGTGGCTGATCTCTGGGGTCTGTTGGGACTCTTTCCTGTCGGATATCGACACAGCCTCTACCAAATGTTTCATCAGGGGAACCACCTCTCCCCGTGTTACCTGAGGACCCCTGGGACTTCTCTCTTTGCTCCTGGGGATTCACCCTTCCTACCAGAGCACTGCCAGGTATCGAGCTGTGGTGTTTTAGACTCTGTGCTCCCCTGTTTAGAGAGTGTTAATGGAATTTAAACCCTCTCCTCTCTCCTTTCTCCTTTCTCCCTTCTCCCTGTTTTGTTCAGTCCCTTGCAGCTGTTTCCACTCTTCCTCTTTCTCTCCAACTGCTTTTGTTGGGGGGATGCTTTTCCCATACTCTTCCCCCCGTCTCTGTCCTCTCTCCACAAGCAAAGACAGCTCCCTGCCCTCCACAGCTTCTCTCTCCCCCAGTTCACCTCTCCATGCTGCATACCTGCTGAGTTCTGTGGTTCAAGTTGTGCAGCTTGTTGTGTTAATCCTCAATCAGTTTTCTAGGTGTGCAGGATAGTTTAGTGTTGGTCTGGCTGCATTTCAGGGAAGAGAGATGCAAAAAAAACCTTCCATTTTGTTCCACCATCTTGGCCCCCTTCTCTCATTCATTATTCTTAATCTACTCAATCTACCAGGGGTTATGTAAAGAGTACATTTCTGAATTTGATGATGTGACACTAGATTAAGAGTTAGCTACCTACACATACCTGACAGTCATAATAAAAGGCTCTTAACCAGCTATAGAGATTATCTAACCCTATAAAATTCCAGTGATGGGAATCAGAAAGTGTTTAAACCTATTGGAAGACAGAAAGTGCATTATTTCCTGTATTTTTCAGAGCATAACTTAGTTATGGTCTTGAAGAAAGGCTGTAGGAAGTTTGTGTGCCTTAGTAGCCAAAATTTGAGTAGAGGCACAGCCAGTCCACTTGCTCATCTTTCTGACTCACCTCCAAAATTAACTGCAGTTGATACTATGGTATGAGTTCTCTGATTATTGGAGCTGGGTTTTATTCATTTTTCTATCTCTCAAAATATACAACAGGCATAATATGTGAAAGGCACTGTATATATTAGGTACAGAATAACAGGCACAATGTATATTAGATGTTCAATAAACGGTTGTTACTTGTAGTTTTTATTTGTAGCCTAAGCTTAACATGTTTACATTCTTTAATAATTGTCAGAGAAAGATACAGTAATATAACCTATCCATTTTACTTTTTAATATTCAAGGAATTCAGACACTGCTTTTTGTCTTTGAAAGCTCACACAAACTTTTTATTCCTTTCATTTTTGAAATTGCTGCTATGCTGCTTTAATTTTACTTCAATATTGTTGAAAGAAGGTTTTTAGGTATATTTGATACAGAATTCTGAAAAAAGCTTAACTTCTGGAAAATATTGAGATTCTTCTATAATGAAGTATAATCTAAAATAATTTTATATGTAGAATAAATAAATATAAGAGAAACCTTGGTAAGATTTGGAGTAGTAAAATAGATTTTACTTTTATTTAAAATAGTAAAGAACGGGGCACCTGGGTGGCTTATTCAGTTGGCTGCTCCTGGTTTCTGCTCAGGTCATGATTTCACAGTTTTGTGAGTTCGAGTCCCACATTGGACTCTGTGTTGGCAGCACCGAGCCTCTTTGGGATTCTCTCTTCCCTGCCTCTCTGCCCCTCCCCAACTTGCACTCTCTCTCAGATGATCTTAAAAAACAATTTTAAAATAAGTAGTAAAGAAAGGGGCACCTGGGTTGCTCGTTGGTTTAGTATCCCACTCTTGATTTCCGCTCAGGTCATGATCTTACAGTTGTGAGATGGAGCCCCATGTCAGGCTCTGTGTGGGCATGGAGTCTACTTAAGATTCTCTTTGCCTCTCTCTCTGCCCCTTACTTATTCGCAGTCACGTGTGCATGTATTCTCTCTCTCAAAAACAAAACAAATAAAAGAATAGTAAAAAACGTGATTTAGGTAGTGAATACTAATATATATGTAGCTATTTCTTCATTAAGAAGGTTTTATTTCACATCAGTCTTCATATTCTGCAACAAAGAAAACATTTTGAATAAGTCTAATTTTTAACTTTTTGAAATATTTAATGTTCAGAATTTCTGATTTTGCTATTTGTCCGAATTACTTAGGCAAAAAGGGCAACTAGCTGTGGAAAGAGCTAAACAAGTGGAAGAGTTCCTACAGCGAAAACGGGAAGCACGGCAAAATAAAGCTCGAGCCGAAGGGCATATGGTATGATTTTTCTTTTTTTTTGAGATTTTGAGCATATTAATATTCAGAGTGAAGTTCTGGAACAAGGTAGGTATAAATGAATTATATTTCTTTACAAACATTTAAACATTTACTGAATAAAAAGTTGTGACATATCTTAACTTCTCTTCTGCCTTATCTTTTATACCAAGGTGAAATTCTGTTGATGGTTTGCTTAATTAGGAGTAAGTTTACAGCTCTATCTTTGCTTTAAAAAGGGTAGAAGTAGACATAGCAACCCAGATATTTATATTAAAACAAATGAGTTTTTACATTGTTGCCTTTGTTTTTTCATACATGCTTTTGGTTTTAAATACTTTTAGGTAGCAAAGAATTGTAGAAGAAAAATGGGAAACCTTCAGATAAATATAACTACATATCTTTTCAAAAGCACATTAGAAGCAAAAGTATATTAAAACCTCCAATTATTCCAGCTAATTAAATTAAGTCACATATCCAAGAAGATATTAATGGTTTTTAGGTAATCATTTTAGTACTTAATAGTTTTGACTTGTAGAGGTATACAAATGCCTTTTGACCTTTTGTCCACAGAATAACTGATTGTTTCTATCAGCTCACCACACCATGAGGCATCCTGCTAACCTAGGAAATAAGTCAGTGATATGGTAGTATATTTTGATTAGATTTATAACTTAGAGTAGATCCTAACTGGTATCGATGTGAGTTAATTCATGTAGTTATTTCAAATTTTAGCAGTTTTTTTCTTTGCAATGTCATTGAAAGATACTTAGATGTTTTAATGGTTACCCTTTATATTTTTAACACATGCATTTGTTTTTTGATTTTGGAATTAATTTGTGCTTGTATCCCTCCTGTAGATAGTAGAAGAGAACCTCCTGTGTTTTCTCTTACCCCATATCTCCAAAGTTAATAGCATCTGGAATTTTAGTTACAGATTTTAATTTGAAATATTTTAAAACAATTATTAGACTTATCAAGATTTATATATTTCTTTCCTCATCACTGTTCCTTATATTCTATTCTGCTCTCACTTTGTTTGTCTTTATGGTAGAATATTCTCTGGCAATTCTCTTGGACAGAAACTTCCCAAGATTTGTTGGGAAATGTCTTTATTTTGTCCTTTTGCTTGAATAATTTGTAGTGGTGGTTATTTGGTGAATTTGGTTACCATTTGTATGTCTGAAAAAAATATTTTGCCTTCATTTTTGAGAAATATTTTTGGTGAGTATAATATAGGTTGAAAATTTTTTCTTTCAGTACTTTAAAGATGATTCTCCAGTTATCTTCTGGCATGCCTGTTTCTGACAAGAAGTTTGCTGTCATTCTTATCTTTTTCCTGTATATGTAATGTATCTTTTTTCTCCACTGACTTTTAACATTTTATCACTGGAAGCAATTTTTTTTAATGTTTATTTTTTTATTTTTGAGAGACACAGCATGAGTGGGGAAAGGGCAGAAGGAGAGGGACAGAGGATGTGAAGTGGGCTCTGTGCTCAGAGCAGAGAGCCCAATGCGGGACTTGAACTCAATGAACTACAAGATCATGACCTGAGCTAAAGTAGGACCCTTAACCGACTGAGCCACCCAGGCATCCCCACTAGAAGCACTTTGATTACAATATAGTTTGGTGTAGTTTTCTTCATGTTTATTTTGTTGGGATTCTTTGAGCTTCTTGGATCTGCGAATTTATAATTTTCATCAAATTTGGAAAAATTTTATGTATTATTTATTCAAAACTTTTTTTCTGTTCCCTCTCTTTGATTCCAGGATTCTCATTACCCATCCACTAGACTGTGTGATGTGCTCTCCACATCCCTCTGTTCATTTTTTTTCACTCTTTTTTCTACTTTTCATTTTGGATAGTTTTTATTTCTATACCTTCAGCCTTCAGGTTCATTAATATTTTCTTCTGCTTTGTCTAATCTATTAATCCCATCCAGACATTGTATTTTTTTCATCTCAGAAATGTTTCTCATCTTGTATTTTTTAATTTACAGTTTATTTGGGTCATTTCTATACTTTCTGCATCTCTCCCTATAGTATTTATGCTTTTCCTCTACATTCTTAAATTTGAACATAGTTAGAGGCGCCTGGGCGTCCAAGTTTGGCTCAAGTCATGATCTCGAGGTTCATGAGTTCATGAACCTGTTCATGACAGTTCACGAGTTCACGACAGCTTGGAGCCTGGAGCCTGGAGCCTGCTTTGGATTCTGCATCTCCCTCTCTCTCTGTCCCTTCCCCTCTTGTGCTCTCTCTCTCAAAATAAACATTAAAAATAAAAATTTGGACATAGTTATAATAGATGTTTTAATGACCTTTTGTAATAATTCTGTTATTTTTGTCATTATTGATTGATTTTTATCCTCATTGGAATCTTCTTTTCCTGCTTTTTCATACACCCGGTAATTTGTGATTGGATGCCCAGCATTGTGTATTTTATCTTTGATTTCTTTGTATTTAAATATGTTGGGGCTTTATTCTAGGATGCAGTTAAGCTACTTAGAAACGATTTGAATCTTTCAAGGCTTGCTTTTAAAATCTGCTAGGCAGGTCCAGAACATCCTTAAGTCTAGAACTAATTTGGCCCCATTTTTTCAAATACTGCTTCTTCTCCTTTTTCTCTTTAAGAGAACTCATATTAGATGGTTAGCTTGGAACTTTCATCAAAGGTCCCTTTTTCTGTGTTTCTTTTTTATCCTTTTTTATCCCTTTCTCTCTTATTATTGTGTTTTAGAAGTATTCCTAGGCTTAAATTTCAGCTCACTAACATATTCTTTTGTTTTGTCTACTCTGCTGTTCAGCCCATCTAATGAATTTCTTTTCATTTAGAAACTTATGTTTTCATGTCCATGAATTCTAATTTGTTTTCCCCTAAATCTCGTTAATTATATTCTCATTTTTCTGATAATACTATAGTCATTGATTAGTCTTTTTTTTTTTTTTTTTTTTTTTTTTTTTTAGTGTGCTATTGGCCTTCTTACCTTGGTTTCTTCTGTTTTTAACTTCTCTATTTCACAGTGTCAGCATTCATCAGATGTTTGGTGTTCACGACACTGTGTTCATATTTGGGAGTATCTTTTATTGCTCCTTACCTTTGAGTGGCCCCCTGGTGAGATGGGAGAGTGCTACTGTCTTCTGTGCAGTTTTCAGTGAGAGTAGAGAATGGATGGGACATATTGATATTCTGCAGACAAATACCTTGACAGTTTATTTTCTGGGCTTAGGAGACTCTCATTCTTCTTCGTTATAACCAGCCACCCAGAGGATTGGCCTGACCTTTACCTCTAAGCCCTCTCTGATCACTCCTATCTGAAGGTAACTAACTGTGCTTTCTGGCTTTTGGAGATGAATAATACGATGGAAGTAATACTCTTACTGTAACCACTGTCTTTTCCTAGACCTTTTCCTATTCTTAGCTTCCAGAAAGTCTTAGGGCATGCTTCATGTTGCTCACACCTTCTGTGGTAGTATTCTTTCTGACATGCTTTTGCTAATGAAGTTTCTCACTTAAAACTGATTTTCTGGACTTTTCTTTATCTCTGGATTCCTTCTGTTCTTGGGACTACTAAGAGTTTTGCTGGTTTTTGAGCACTGATGTCTATTCACTTAAAACAACAACTTTATTGTAGGATTTTGCAAGAAGGGAAGCTATAGAGTCATTTTGCCATCTTGCAATCAGAATTTAGTATTTTTGTTTTAATTTTTAAAAAACTTAAAAAAAACTTAGAGATAGCAGTGCATTTTGACAGGGATTTTTATATGATCTTTCAAGATTCACTTTGTTACTCTATATAGAATTTCTTCATTCCCTTGATGGCTAAATGTATACATAAAACTTTACCTTAGAAAGATGCAGATAAGAGTAAAAAAATTTTTTTTTTAGTTGGGTGTGTACATTATATATTAAGTTTTTTTTCTTTTTTTTTTAAATTTTTTTTTTTTTCAACGTTTATTTATTTTTGGGATAGAGAGAGACAGAGCATGAACGGGGGAGGGGCAGAGAGAGAGGGAGACACAGAATCGGAAACAGGCTCCAGGCTCTGAGCCATCAGCCCAGAGCCCGACGCGGGGCTCGAACTCACGGAGCGCGAGATCGTGACCTGGCTGAAGTCGGACGCTTAACCGACTGCGCCACCCAGGCGCCCCTATTAAGTTTTTTTTCTATCTGCTAATTTAACAACAAGGCAGTTTGTTAAATACTTTGGAGGTAGTAGGTTAATTAATTAAACGTTGCTTAATTAAAGCTTCATCAGACATAGTTTGTCTCTAGAGTAATTTATAATCTTAATATTGAATAAGAATACATATACTAGTAATGTGAGGCAGTGAGTAGAAGTGAGAGCTGAAATTAACTGTGGGGAGTCTTCATAAATGTTAAGTTTGAAATTGGAACTTTTTTATGATGAGATAGAGATACTATTTAAAATTGGTCTCTCTGTGTTAGTTTTCTGTTGCTGTGTAAGAAATTATCATAAACTTAGTGGCTTAAAGCAACACAGATTTATTACAGTTTCTGTGGGTAAAAAATCTGGCATGTTTTAACTGGATCCTCTGCTTATGGTCTCGTAAAGCTAAAATCATGGTGTCAGCCAGTTGTGTCCTCATCTGAGGCTCAAGTAGGGTAAGACCTTCTTCACTGCTTAGAGTGTTGGTAGAGTGTTGGTAGTGTTAGAAATTCACTTTCTTGCTGCTATAGGACTGAGATCTTCATTGTTTGACTAGCTTTTAACAAGGGATCAATAATTCTAAGAGACCACTGTCAGGTCTTTGCCATGTGGCCCCCTTCATCTCAGCAACAGATGACTTCTTGTGCATCAAACCCCTCTCATGTTTCAAATTCCTGACTGCCACTTCTGCAGCCAGCTTGAGAAAATTCTGATTTTAAAGAGCTCATGTGATATCACTTCACACCTGTCAAGAAAAATGCCTAGTACCAAAAAGATATGAAATAGCAAGTGTTGGTGGGGATGTGGAGGAAAGGGGCCCCTTGTGCACTGTTG